TACTTATAATAATCTATTTGAAAACATTTAATATTCCTCGAACATTTCGTTACAGTACGGGAAGTTCCAACAATTAGTCTTAAGGCACGATGCCATACACACCACTAGTTTAAATTAGATTCAACTTTTTTTTACATGACCACTATAAAAGCTTATATATGGGTGGGGTAAAAAGGACCAACCAAACCTTTACACTGGCAAAGGTGTAATAAAAAAGAAAGTAGTAAATAAAAAAGTAGATTAAGTTAAAGCAAAATTGAATTAATAGATATTCCATCTCCGCTGATGAATCTTTCTCACGAAATAAATACCAGGATTATATATACGATGATACTCAAGATTATATATGGTGATTATATATGGTATATGGCTTCGTCAAAAAAGTGTTCATGAAATATTTATTTCGCATTGGTTAAACAATTTAGCTAGTATTTCGTAAGATTCCTTTACAATTTCAAATAAGACATTGCGTCTGTTTTGCCCGATATCAGTTCGATAGTTGTTTGTTTGATACGTGTTATTACTTGTTATGATATTCATTTAGTTTGGGCAGTATAATTACTGAAAGGCAAATTGGACTTTTGTGCCCCGCCTTACCCTATATGTAGAACACCTAAATATATTGAACAACTGTGATTCAACTCAATGAAAGTCAGCAAAATTTTAATATTAATATTTATTTAATTATGTAATTTTATTCATAGGGTAGCGCAGGGGCACAAAGGTTCAATTTGACTTTATTTATATTGTGAAAACATAACGAATTATATCATATTTTGTGCGACGATCGTCCAAGCCGTTTCTTTATAAATAGCAGAAAAGTGAAAAAATTTTCGTCTACGTTTTAGCCCGCAATTTTGAATCAATTCAGAAAATTCAAAAACCGTTCGAAAGATATTGGTTGGGAATCGTGCTAATTAGTTTTTGGTGCAGATCGGCCGGGCTGTTTTCTTGTAATAAAGTTAAAAAAAAAATTTCGACTATTTTTATGATTATTTTTTTTATGGTAAATACCATAGTTTTCTAGATCATACTAAAATATTACGGTCCTACGACAACTCGTTTAGCTTTAAAAAATCGTCAAAGTTTGCAAAAATTAGTATGGTCTTTTTGGCATTTGTCAAAATTAAAACTTTCATCGACGTTTGCTTAAAAACGCCTGAACCGACTTCAGAAATTTAAAATCCATTTGATGTATCTCGATGAGCATTATCGTTTTTCAGTGCAACGATCGGCCGCGCCGTTTCTTTGTAATTTGGAAAAAAGTGTTAAACTTTTCGTCCACATTTAAGCTCATACTACCGAATCGATTTTAAGAAATCAAAAACTGTTCGTAAGATATTAGTTGGGAATGATACTGATTAGTTTTAGGTGAAAATCTACGAGCCGTTTTCTTGTAATTAAATGTTGAAAAAAATATTTAGGCCGATTTTCATGAAACTTTTTTTAGCGATATATATGATGGTTTTATAGAACTTACTGAAATATTACGCCCTTACGAGGCGTAAATAGTGTTAGAAGTATCGAGGCAAAAGATCGATATTGAGTACTTTAAAAAGTATCTACTTGTAATCAAAATGTCGATGCCAAAAAAATATCGTGGCGAAAGTATCCATAGTACTCAATATCGAATTTTGAGTACTTTTCATAAAAATCAAACATAAGTGCAACAAAGATCTAAAACTAATTAAATATTATATCACAATATTAGAATGAATTCTATTGCTTGTATCTGGTGTGTTAAATCAGAATCATTTTCAATATTGTAAAATTTTAACAGTAATTTTTCAATACTAATTTCAAATTCTATAACTTTTCAAAAAAAAGACAAGTTATAATAGTTGAGTAATTTTAATTAAAACAATATAATAGTCTGATACTATATTCAAAAAGCAATACTTTTTAAGTATTTTTAAGTACAATAATATTTTTAATATTTTTAAGTAAAATAATATTTTATAATTGTTGAATATTTTTATATAAATAATTTTATCGATTTTTATATTTCGATTCTTTTCTACGCAAAATACTTGTTGATGTTGGGGGGTTTCTCAACCCCTTTCGAAGTATTTTATACTTCGAGGAAAAATAAAAAAATTAAATGTATTCAGAAAACAAAAACCAATGGTAAACAAATATAAATTAAAAATAAAGTTCTTCTTAATCCGTAATCAATAATAAACTAAAATATATTCTATATAAATTTTATATAAATGAAAAACAAAAATGAACACTAATTAATATTGTATGAAAATGTTATCTGTTTTGGAAGTCCAAGCCGCGGCAGCTATTTGGTTGGATCTGGAAACATCAGCGTAGTCGGTTGGATAGGTTGAAAAGAAATTCGAATACACTGACAAATAAAAATAACTGTTGACTTGACACACAATAGAAATTTAATCCACTGATAATATTGAACTGATAACAAACACTGAAAGGAACTGAATGTATTGATTGCAAGTAACTGAATGAATGAATTAAACCAAAATGAATGAAAACCACGGAATAAATCAACTCGAACACTGTAAGGAACTGAAAGTAACTGAACGAATGAAAGGCGCGGAATGAATTGATTTGAATGCCAAAAACTATTGCCTGCATCGGCCTTTTTTTGAGTCAGAATTGCCCGATTGCCTAAATTTGAAACGTATTGTCCGAGTAGAAAAACAAACCTTTTACAGGTCCGACAACCTACACAGGTGCGGCGCAAACAATACTAATATATTGAAATGGATGAGTATTATTATTTGAAATAATCATACTTCGATTGTTGAATATGTTTTTACAAAACATTTTGGTACTTTAAAAAGCCGTTTCATTTTACATTAAGAGTAATAAATAAACATCTTTATTTATTAGTGTGGTCATATTCAATTTGGGTTTTTGAGCAATAAATTCTGAGACTAATGACACCCTTCGGGATCATTTTTAACACTTCTTTGAACAGTTGTGACCACCTATAGAGACTATTGCATTGCATTTCGCAAAATGAGTGGTGTTCATAGTTGGTCGATGAGTGGTGTTCATAGATTACGCTGTCGATTCTTTTTGAGTACTATCGACGAAAAAGATCGATATTGGCAAATAGATCGAGCTAAAAAATCGATACCAAAAGTACTCACTATCGACCGCAAAGTATCGGTATTTACTCAGTACTCGATATTTCGTTCTAACACTAGGCGTAAGTAGTTTAATTTTAAAAATTCATCAAAGTTTGAGAAAATGAGTAGATTTTTAGACATTTGTTAAAATTAAAATTAGACGATTTACTTGGTATAACGATAGAGTACTTGGTCTTAATGAACATGCTAAACAATTAAAGTCCTACAAAAAACTGGCTTAATTATAAAAATTATTGATTTTTGAAAACTTGCTTTTAGAAAATACTCCGAGTTAACGTGTTCGTTCGTTTTCAATTATATGCAATAAATACACTCGAACTACTTTTATTCGCTCATAAATTAATTTATTTTTTATTGATTAAGTCGATTATTTGCACATATCGGGAAGTTCATGTAACTTGCCTCAAGGCAAAATACCAATACCAACTAGTTTTTATGTAGTATGGTTATTCAAAAAAGATTTGGAATCTTGATTTCCTAGATTTGTTTTTCTTATGGCACTATTTTTATTTTTCTCGACTTCTAGCTTTCCTAGCCGCGTACATTATTATTTAGTACTATAAACATAGTCCAGTCATTTGGTGCAAAAAAAGCCTGTTGCCGGTACAGTACTCCGGGAATTCTGAAAATTGGTAATCTTATAGATTTCGAGGTGCTCTTTACGAAAATCAACTTTGCCACCTCAAATTTGAACGGCAAGTTGCCGCCATATTAGAAAAATGGCGTCAAACAACAGCTTTTTTAAAATATCTCCTTTCTGGCTGATTCTGCGATAAAAGTATCTATGTACGAATTAAACTAGACAAAATTTCCTACAATTCCTTAGAAAACCGTTTTTTTGTAAAATTGATAGTTTGAGAGTACGGCCGCCTCAAAGTCTTTGCTGCTCTCGCCGTAGTATCAAATCTCTCCATATATGACAGCACTTCGAACTTGACCACATTCTCTCTAATAATTAATATTTTCCATGTTAAATTAAGCGAATAAGATCTAGAAATAAAATAATTCAAATATTTTTCGTTTTTTATGCTAAATTTTTAACACTTCAATGGCAAAGTAGCTATAAGTATACTTATAACTTGAGTAGCATCTTATAGCTTCAAGTAGCTTGAAGCATTAAAAAATCAGCAAAAAAACAAAAAAATATTTGAATTATTTTATTTCTAGATCTTATTCGCCTAATTTAACATTGAAAATATTTATTTATTAGAAGGAATGTGGTCAAGTTCAAAGTGCTGTCATATATGGACAGATTTGATACTACGGCGAGAGCAGCAAACACTTTGTGGCGGCCGTACTCTCAAACTATCAATTTCACAAAAAAACGATTTTCTGAAGAATTGTAGGAAATTTTCTCTAGTTTAATTCGTACATAGATACTTTTATCGTAGAATGAGCCAGAAAGGAGATATTTTAAAAAAGCTGTTTTTTGACGCCATTTTTTTAATATGGCTGCAACTTGCCGTTCAAATTTGAGGTGGCAAAGTTGATTTTCGTAAAGAGCACCTCGAAATCTATAAGATTACCAATTTTCAGAATTCCCGGAGTACTGTACCGGCAAAACGACCAAATGACTGGACTAACAGTCTTACGCGTACTATTTATTTTAACTTTTTTCTTTGGAATTACGACAAGTGTGAAAACACAATAAATTAAAAGAAAAATTATTATAAATGAGTTTTTTCGACTAAAGGACTTGGGGCAAGCAATCATAAACTAAATTGAAGTGACTAATCAAAGTGACCGTAAAATATTAAATTGACAGACACTTGTTAAAACAATTTTCTATTAAACAAAAACAACAAAAAGTCAAAATTTATTTCATCCTAATTATAAAAACATCTTGATTTTAAATTTGGGGGTAGAAAATAATTTAAAATGCAAATTTTTGTAAGAACTCTCACAGGGAAAACCATCACTTTGGAGGTAGAATCATCAGACGCAATTGAAAATGTTAAAGCTAAAATCCAAGATAAAGAGGGAATTCCACCAGACCAGCAAAGTTTGATTTTAGCTGGTAAGCAATTAGAAGATGGCAGAACTTTATCGGACTGTAATATCCAAAAGGATTCTACACTTCACTTGGTGCTTAGACTGCGTGGTGGTATGCACATTTTTGTTAAAACTGTGACTGGTAAAACAATCACACTGGAAATTGAACCATCAGATACTATTGAGAATGTTAAAGGTAAAATCCAAGAAAAAGAAGATATTCCACCCGACCAGCAACGTCTAATTTTTGCCGGCAAACAATTAGAAGATGGCCGAACATTATCAGATTATAATATTCAAAAGCAGACAACACTTCATTTGGTACTACGTCTTCGTGGAGGTATGCAAATCTTTGTCGACACTCTGACTGGCAGAACCATAACCTTAGATGTTGCCCCCTCTGATACCATCGAGAGTGTAAAAGCAAAAATTCAAACTAGAGAATACCTCCAGATTACACTAGATAAGCAGCGTTTAATCTTTGCTGGTAAGCAATTAGAAGACAAAAGAACATTGTCAGACTATAACATACAAAAGGAATCTACTCTTCATTTAGTTCTTAGATTGCGTGGTGGTATGCAAATCGGAATATGCTAGGACCTTATCTGAATATTCTGAAGGAGTCTACTCCCCATTTAGTATTACTTTTGATGAGAGGGTTATCAGAATCTTATTTTTTTTTTTTTATAAAAATGTGATTTAATTTTATCTTTTTTAATTTTATTATTCTAAATAATAATGTGTGTTATTTTAATCCGCTTGATATGCTTACTATTTCGAACGCAACGAAATTACTGTTGATAATAAAATAATCCATGTTGTTTAAACTATCATTTTTTTTTTAATTTTTAAGATACTGAAATAATTGTGAATATTGTGTCGAAAAAATTTTATCTTGAAGAAAACTATAGTACGAGTATATATGATACGAACCTTATGTTGTAAAATTAGTTAAAAATGTATAAATTGACTTTAATACAACAAAAATGATGGAAATTTCTGTTGACAATAATAATACTGAAATTTGATTAAAAAACTATTCAAATACATAGCAATATGTTGAGAAGCTATATAGGCAATAATAATATTTAATGTATTAAATTGTTACAATGTATATGAAGGATAATACTTATTTAATGATAAAAAGCTCTATTTTTAATATTACTATAAAAATATATAAATAGCTGATTAAACTTCTTCAATAAAAAAAATTCTTATTTAAATAGATATAGGCTTAAGAGGAAAATATAGCTTAAAAGCTGGATTCTAAAATCTGTAACTTATTGCGTCAATACTATATATATATATATATATATATATATATATATATATATATATATAATAAGTTAATAAGTGAAGAATAATTTTGTGGTAAAATATTCATTTGTAAATGAAATTAATGATATCTGGTGGTATAAGGTATGGTAGATGATAGACCCAAGGCTTACAACAGATAATACAACGTGCGGAAACATCAGCTCTCCTACTATTGCAAAATAGTAGCAAAGAGGTACACTAGTCTCTACACTATTAGACACCATAATATGTGGGGGGGGTCAGGCTCCAGGTATATAAAGGACACAGGTACCTTACTCGATCTCTTTTTTGGTCTACTGGTCATGAAACACATGGGCAAACAAGTAAGGAAATCCGACTACAGGATAGTGAGCTGAAAACATTGTATATATTATTAGTAAATAAATATTATATTCTCATATAGTACAATTGTGGTGTATTAATTTTTATATGTGCGACCACCCCACAAACGTAATAACACTTGTATATGAAAATAAATATAATCAGACGATGCTAATAGATTTTAAAATTTTAAATATAAAGATACAGATTATATAAAATCAATCTAATAATATAAAGATATATACATATATAATCTAATAAATAGGCTAGTTTTGCATGAGCAACTAATCGAGTTAATCAATAAGAAATCAATAAATTAATTTAGGAGTGATTTATGAATAAACCGAGTTGCTATAGAGCGTCGTGATGTGCGAATTTTTCAATTTTGTGCTAAGTTTGCCAAATGATAACTTTAAGATATATATGCTCATTAAGACGTTTTATTAAAATTGCAAAAAAAAATTCTTTTAGCAATCAGTTACGAAAAGCACGATTCCCAAATGACACAAAAAAAACTAATCAGCACGATTCCGAAATGACATTTGTCGTAGTTTTTGAATTTTTAAAGTCATTTCAGTTTTTTTTTTACAAAAACGTAAAAGCTTTTTGCACTTTTCTGATAATTATAAAGAAACGGGTGCTCACTGCTCATCTTTGATAAATCTCAAATTTTGATAAATTTTTAAAATGCAAGGGCTTTTTGTATGGCCATAATATTTTAGTATGTTTCCATTTAGTATGACCATCAAAGAAAGTTTCAACATTATAGTAAAAAAATAAACTATTACAGAGATACTAGTCGGCTGATCTTTACGAAAAACTAATCACCACGATTCCCAACTATAGCTTTCAAACAGTTTTAGCATTTTTCAAATCGGTTAGGTTTGAACCTAGATATCCGCGAGAACCTAGACAAAAAAAATTGCACTTTGTTTGCTAATAATAATGATACAGTTTGGCCGATCGTTGCAAAATTAATCAAAACGAATCTTTATGGAGATAAATGACTTTTAAATTTTTGAAATCTGCTTAGCCGCTTTGACCTTATATTAGCATGTTTTGGATTTTCTGGTTTAGACATTTAGTTTTCACAAAGTATTTTCACAAAAATTTAGTGCTTTTTACAGATATGTGTAAAAATATATTTTTTTGGCCTTTGTCCTTCTTTCTTTTTTTTGTTGGTTTGAAGTGGTCCTTTTTCTTTTTCTGCCTTGATATCCTAAATTATTTGCGTTTTGGCGTTTTTTTCTTTCTGTCTCGTTTTTTTTAATGACCATGCCTCGACCTCTCTTTTTTGTCTTGTTTTTCTCACTTTCTCTACCTTGGCGTCTCATTTTTTCGGTTCTGTTCTTCTCGCTTTATTTGTCGAACCATCTGTTTTTTGTCTTGCCCTTTTTACTTTCTTTGACTTGGACCTCCTCTTTTTTATATTGCTTATGATACTTTCTTTGCCTGTACTTTTCTTCTATCTTTCCTCACATATACTACTTTGGCCTCATTTTCTCCCTGTTTTGCCCATTTGCTTTTCTCTGCCTTGCCCTCTACTTTTCTCAGCGTTTTCTTCCTCACTTTTCCTATCATTGCTTCTTTCTTTCTCTGTCTCGGACCTCTCGCTTTTTCAGACACCTCTTTTCTACCTTGCTTCTCTCATTTTCTCTGGACTCCCTCTTTCTCTATATTGTCTATCTTACTTTCTCTGCTTTGGCCTCATTCTGTTCCCTTCTTACACCTCTAACTTTGTATACCTTGCTCTCTGATTTTCACTGCCTTCAACTCTCTCTTTCTTTTTTTTTATCCTGGCCTATCTCTTCTCTTTCTATGTGTATGCCTGTCGGCCTCTATAATAATGTTTTCAAAGTAACTTCCGTATGAATACTTTTTCCCTAACTAATGAACATAAATAAAGTTTTTGATAAATGAAGATTTAACTGCAGTGCTATTGCGCTTTTCGCAAATTGTGCGAGGCGCAACTCTATATTAAGGACATAATTATTTTAATTACGAAAGCTTTTGCGTCGTTAAGATGCTTGAATCGCGTTTATGTAGATATAATAGTTTACTAAAAAGGATTAGACACAATAATGAATATTATCACTAAACAAAAGTACTATTCAACTTTAACAAATTTTTGATAATGCAGCAAAAGACTTATAATAATGGGTTGAAATTTAGTTGTATTTTTAGATATTACAAACTGAAATAAATCATTGCAGATACATATGTTTATGTCGTAAACTCCAACTAGTTTTTTTTACATAAAACTATTTTATTTAGTCAAGTCCAATAATATAGGTAAACATACATCTTGATTGTTGATAATAGTTGAAACATATTTACTATGCATTGCAAACAATTCATAGAATTATCACCAAAAAATTTCAATTTATACGTTTAGGCACTTGATATGTCATTATTCAGTAATTGTAATCCTGATAATTACAACAAAATAACGAATAAGAAAAATATTGAAACTTTTTGTTGAATTATTTAAAACAATAAACTGTGAATATATCAGAGTGTCCCAGAACTCAAGGTCAAGCCGGGATGATAGTATTGACTATAGCAAATCTGAAAAAAAAAATAGAAAAAAAATTATGTATTGTTTGGAAAATATGACCTTCAAGTGCAACCTAGAGCTATTGTGAATTTGTGAAATATCAATTATTGTGGTTGATATTTATTAATTATGTTTATTTAAACTTTAGATCTATATTGCTAGAAACAATAGTTCTGGGACCATAGTCTCCAAGTTTCAAGAATCAAAACTTTTTGTTGAACTATAAATTCGACTTTGAGAGGCCTTTTTAATGAAAATGTGCATATTAAAATGTGACAAGCTTCGTCATAAGTTGGCAAATTTTCTCAACATTGATAAATTGATAATTTTATTATTGATATTTAAGTTCCTGTAAGTAAGTTATTATAATTGTTCAAAAATCGAAATTGAAAATTTTTGCATGTCTTCCAGTTTCGTAAGATTCTAAACATTTTATCATACTTCCGAAATAATTGATGTGTGTGTGTATGTATTTAGGTATGGATACAATCTTTTGTTCGCGTTTTTGAGCGCACGGATTTGAATGGTTCAAAAAATTCGATTCTTATTGATAAGGAGATGTGCTGATTATTTTTTAGTAATGGCAGGTCTAGCCATTTTGGGACAAGAATTTTTTTTTTCATTTCAAAATTTAATCTCAAAAATATATATTTTTTGAGTATCAAAAATAATTCGGATTTTAATTTTAATTATACCTAAAGTTCTAAAGCTCACTTTTTTACTTCAAATAAATAATTTTGACTTCGCAATTTAGTTTATATAATTCTTATAAATATTAGACAATGTCCTTCATTTTAATTCCGATTGAATAAATTTTGTTTATTTATTTTCTGTAAATTTATATAAACGCCATAGTGCAATTCGTAAGCTTTTATATTTTGTCTATAAAATACAAGTAATGAAAGTTACATATACAAGTACATATATAATATAACATTATTTATATATAAACATATATAAATAATGAAAGTTACATATTACAGTACATAAAATAATCTATTTGAAAACATTTAATATTTCTCGAATATTTCATTACGGTACGGGAAGTTCCACAATATGCCTTGAGGCACGATGCCATACAAGACTAGTCATTTTTTCACTAGAAATTTTTCATTATAAAACTATCAGCTAGTTACTAAAGTTATTTATAGATTACGCCAAAACTGTTGAACAAAAACCGTGCTATAAGAGTGCCGCGTTGTAGTTGTGCTGTCGCAATTTCAGATACGCGTAATATAGAAATAGCGTTTCCGGAGTACCGCGTAATATGAGGGTTGACTTATTAACTAATGCAGCGGACAGCGTTTCGGCCGAATACCGGTCCCCGGAAGCCGGAGTGTACTTAGGCCGGACAGTCGGATGTTATTCCGCCGGATGGTCGTTATGTCCCTCTACTGGCACA